TGACTATTTTGACACATAGTTTGACCACGAACTCCTTGTGGATTCGACCAGACTTACCCTATCTACATAGGTTAGTTGGTTTATTTTTGATTGATACAAAGACATCGATCAAATGTCAAGGATTACAGGTCAAAACAACTTCTAATTCAGTGTGATAGTGATGGCCATCTCTACTTGGTTATACATTCAACTTCTCAAGCTCATGTTTCTGCGAGTCCCTCCGTTTGGCATCAACGTCTCAGTCATCCTGGGAATAAAACTTTGCAATCTTTAATTTCGAATAATTTCATTTCTTGTAATAAGACAAACTATGATGCTATTTTTCAACCATGTAAACTTGGAAAACATGTTAAACTTCTGTTTGATTTATCATCTACTTGTGTTTCAAATATTTGTGATATTGTTCACTCGGATGTATGGACCTCTCCAATTGCTAGCACTAGTGGTTTGCATTACTATGTTATTTTTCTTGACCACTACTCACATTATCATTGGGTCTACACCCTCAAACAAAAGTCGGATGTTTTTTCCAAATTTGAAATTTTCTCCAACTACATCAAAAATCAATTCAACAAAACCATAAAAGCTTTTCAATGTGACAACGGGGGGTGAATATAATAACCAACAATTCCATGACCATTTTGCTACTCATGACATTTGATTCTGTTTTTCATGTCATCACACATCTCAACAAAACGTAAAATCATAACGTATATTACGAACCATTAACAACTCCATCCGATCTCTTCTCTTTCAAGCCCACACGCCACCTACATATTGGGTGAAAGCTCTTCACATGGCCACCCACTTACTCAATATTCTTCCTTCCACCACTATCCAAAATGAAACCCCTCACTTTCGCCTATTCCAAACTCATCCCACATATACTCACCATCGTGTCTTCGGATCCTTATGCTACCCTCACCTTATCACATCTCACAAACTCCCACTTAGATCCTCTCCATGTGTCTTCTTGGAATGTCCATCTAACCGTCATGGGTATAGATGCTTAGACCTATCTTCTAAAAAACAATAATTTCTCGACATGTCATTTTTTGATGAAACCACCTTGCCCTTCAAACCTGTCACTCCAAAAGAATCCCCATCATACAACTTTCTTGAAGACACATATCACCATTCCCCTTTATTTCAATACATCACCAACTCTTCCACATCTCCATCTTAACCCTCAGATACCACCATCAACGAGGATCAACCTAACCCATCTCATTCATCACAACAATCACCCTCCTCATCACCCTCTCCTCCACCTGTTTCCCATGAACATATTCCTCCCCAACCAACCCACACCATGACAACTCGCACCAAAATGGGATTGTGAAACCCCTTCATCGTCTCAACCTCCATACCGCATCTCTTTCCCCTATTCCACGGTCTCACTTACATGCTTTAAAGGATCCAAAGTGGAAAAAAGCTATGAATGATGAATTTAATGCACTTATGACTAACGGTACATGGCAGCTTGTTCCACGACCTCAAGAGGTCAACATTGTGCGGTCTATGTGGCTCTTCTGTCACAAATTTCATGCAGATGGTACCCTCTCATGCTACAAAGCAAGACTGGTAGCAAATGGCAAAAGTCAGCAATAGAGTTTCGATTATGACGAGACCTTTAGTCCGGTTGTCAAATCGAAAACCATTCGTATTGTTCTCAACATAGTCGTTTCTCGCCAGTGGCCCATTCATCAGCTTGATGTCAAGAATGCATTTCTCCATGGGCATCTACAGGAGACAGTATATATATGTACCAGCCACCCGGATTATAGGACTCTCGTTTTCCTGACCATGTTTGTCTGTTGCATAGATCTCTTTATGGCCTCAAACAGGCCCCCAGAACCTGGTATTATCGCTTTGCGCAACACGCTACTAGCATTGGTTTTCAGCAAAGCCGCACAGATCCCTCCCTGTTTATCTTACATACATCTACTGCCACAACATATCTTTTGCTTTATGTTGACGATATTATTCTGACAACATCTACCACAGACCTTCTCAGGCAGATTATCTCTCGACTCATCCATGAGTTTTCCATGACCGACCTTGGTGCGCTGAACTACTTTCTTGGCATTTTAGCTGTTCGATCTAATTCTAGGTTGTTTCTCTCTCAGCAAAAGTACTCCATAAATATATTGGAGCGTGCTAACATTTTGAAATGCAATCCGTGTCGCACTTCAGCTAAACCAGTTCTCAAACTGGACTCATCCAAACCTCCAATCGCGGACCCCACGCTATATCGCAGTCTGGATGGTGCTCTTCAGTACTTGACTTTCACCAGACATGATATTACTTTTTCTGTTCAGCAAATCTTTCTATACATGCATGACCCCAGAGAGCAGCACTTTCATGCTCTCAAATGCATATTACGGTACATCTGCAGCACCATTGACCACGGTCTCCAGATTCATGTACCCCCCACTGCGAATCTTGTTGCCTACTCAGATGCGGATTAGGGAGGTTGTCCAGCGTCTCATAGATCTACTTTTGGATATTGTATCTTTCTAGGAGACAATCTCATCTCATGGTCTTCCAAATGACAAAGGGTTGTATCACGATCCAACGTAGAAGCTGAGTATAGAGGAGTTGCTAATGCAGTCGCCGAAACCAGTTGGATCCACAATCTTCTGTGCGAACTGCATTGCCTACAAACAAGGCAACAATTGTCTACTGGGATAACATCAGTGTTGTATACATGTCTGCGAACCTGGTTCAACATCAACGAACCAAACACATAGAAATTGATATTCACTTCGTTCGAGACCAGGTTGCCAAAGGTCAAATTCGTGTCCTACATGTTCCCTCCTCCGCTCAATACGCCGACATCTCCACGAAAGGGCTGCCTACTTCACTTTTTAATGATTTTCGATCCAACTTAAACATCCGCCTCCCTTCTCCCATTCAAACTGCGGGGGGATGTTAGTCTATATGTATTTGTAATTGTAAGCCCATGTCACACTAGGCCCATTTGTGTATGTGTGATTGCATATATTCAATGTAATATCTCATTGGTGAATCAAAGGAGAATCTTTCACAATAATAACTCCGATCTTGGTTTATAGTTACTAAGCAAATGGTTTATATATATTATAACTTTATGAAAATGAGCATTTATCTTATTTTAAAAATGAAAAAATTATACTGAAAATGGGTAACTACATTTAACTTATATATGTAACACTTAAAACCTCTTCCCAATTCACACATTGATATAAATTTCTCAATTTTTTTTATTCAAATAGGTTTATCATCTAGTTCTGATGACTGTTTGTGCATCAAATATATGCATGAAAATAATCCACTTTGTTTATCTTCATCCAAACTGATGTGCTAACAATGATGTTACAACAACTAATCGAACAAAAATAATGTTGTTTCTTTCGGATAATGTAAGTTCAAGTGTGTCAAGAATACAAGAACTCATGTCAACAAAGATGTAAAGCTACCCATGAGCATCTTGCCTGAGATTACTTTACTGATATTCCCATATTTAGTGATGAGCAATTTAGAAGATGATTCCGGATATGAAGGCAATAATTCATGTGTATTGTTGAAGATATGGAAAGACAATATTCATACTTCGTATGAGTACTTGAATATATCGGAAAGAACATCAAGTGAAAGCATCTAACAATTATGTTATTTAATAAGGTGTATGGAGATGAATATCTATGCAAACCAACATCCAATAATATTCAACATTTGTACGCCACACATGAATCCAAACATTGATTCAAGGAATGTTGGGTAGGATTGATTGTACACATCGGTCTTGGGGGAATTGTCTAAAAGCATGGAAATGTCGATACATAAGATGTAATGACGAGTAGGGATGAGTTTTTTAATCGAAAAACCGAATCAGAACCGAAACCGGTTGGAACCGATTTGTGGTATTCAGTCCGGTTTCTGGTTCCCGAAATCCATCATTTTCGATTGGTTCTTTCGATTCCGGTCCAGTTCGGGCTGGTTCTGGTTCCGAACACCTTCTTATATAGCATATTTCCTAATAGAACCGAAACCAAACTAGAACCGAAATAGGTTGGAACCGGTTAGTGGTATTCACTCCGGTTCTCAGTTCCCCATTCAATCGTTAATTGGTTTTTGGACTGTTACATCTCTAATGACGAGTACCCAACGTTTATACTTGAAGTGGTGGCTTCGTAAGATTTATGGATATGGTATGCATATTTGGTGTCGCTGGTTCGAATAATGACATAAATGTCCTATAACAATCGCCACTACTCGATGAGAAGGTATATAGAAAAGCACCTAGGTGGACCCCAAGTGTGACATTTCAGGTGAAGGATTCGGGATACAAACATGATTACTATTTTGCAGATGAGATATACCTAAGCTGGACAATTTTTGTGAAATCATTTTCACATCCACCCAACGATAAAATAAAAAAAATTCAAAGTGGCACAAGAAACAGAAAGAAAGGATTTAGAAAAAGCTTTTGGCAGCCTAATATTACTCAATATGTACTTAAAGATGACGGTGTTGTATGTTTGGTTGATGATGCCGATCTCCTCACTGAGGAAGAAATAAATGAAGATACTCTTGTAATTGCATTCCACCGAAACCCACCATCACTTCGATCGTATAACTACTTGAATTTATTTACTTTTGATTCATTTTTATTACTTCAGCATTGTACTTTTCTAAATTAATAAAATGTTATTTTGGTTTTTAGTTTTAGTTATATTTAAAATAAACTTATATTTTCTTAAACTATTTAAAAAAATCATGTACTATGGGAATGATACTAAGGACACATTTCTTGTGTTTAAAGACGAGAGAAATAAAAATCAGAAGGAAAAAAGGTTACATGGAATTAAGGATGGAAGGGATAGGATGGGACTCCCACCCGCCTTACATACATGTAATTCCTTTATTAAAATAATTACATTAAATACTACTAACTGTCGTGAAAATATTGATGAAAATGTTTGAGAAGTACTAATTGATGAAAAAACCTTATATTCGTTCCATGATTACTCCTTGAGGGATTAGATTTCAAACAACTCCCTTTCTTTTAATCTCCAATCAAAAATCCCTACCAAAACATAGTTGTATATCCCATGATTACACCTTTTATATAATACACAGATACATTTTTCTTTCCTTTTTCCTAATCTCTCTCCCCTTACTTGAAGTTTTTTCCTAATCTTTTTTCCATGTACACATACATACAAGAATAACATGTGTTTTTGAACCCTTTTTTTAGGGTTTCAAAAACTGATGAATCAATGAAGCAATCAATACAAGACAACCCTGAGCAACCCTGGTTGGGGTTCAGAGTAGTGAAGCCCCTCTTCCTCCAGCAAGTACCTCTGGACAGCAACAGGAAGTCTAGCTGGCGTTCTTGTCCCTTTAGTGTGGTGGCCTGTCCCCACACATATGTACACCTGGACACGCTGGTCTGCTGACCTGGCAATGTTACGCCACGTCATCAGATCCCGTTTCAGGACGTGAATGGCTTCACTCACGTGTAGCCCATGGAGATCAATTATCCTTTCCTGCCCTCCTCCTCTTCCATTCCCTTGCATTTCTGGACTTACCGGATTCCTAATAGAGAAAAGATAAAAACCACTTTTTTATTTTTTATTTTTTGTATTTTCATTTTTTTGTATCTGGACAAAACTAACCTTTGATAGTAGATAGATTCTTGAGCCTTTCCATGAGCAGCTTTCATTTGGATGTTGTGTAATTGCCCTTTCACACTCAGTTCCTTAGCTAAAGCCTTTTGGCCAATATGATAAGCTTGTCGTGCCTATTTTCAAACCAAAATTGAGATAAGAATAAGAAAAAAAAAAAAAAAGCTTTTAATATTAAATAATTAGTAGCATTCAGAACCTTGTGATCCATAGATTAAGATTGAAGTCTTTTTTTTTTTTTTAAATGGGTGTCTTATACTCTTATTCACCAGTTATTTCTTAGGAGACCCTACGTTTTATGTATTCAGTTGAAGGGTAAAACGGTCATTTACTCTCATATAAATGGCAAAATACCTGTTCAAAATATGCGTTGCGTAAACGTGCATGATCACGAGCTTCACCCCGCATTTCAGAATACATATTTGCTGTGATCTCAACAAAGTTAAAGCACAAAGACACAACTACCCATATAATATAATAAACTAAAATAAAATATAACAAAAAACATTATTTGAATTTCATCGAAAACATTACCAACTGCATCACCAGTTTCAAGCCAAACAGGAGCCGAACGGGGCCCATAACCACTGGAATAAGAGCTTCTGCTTGATCCAATGGTGGAATTTGGAGAAGGGTTTCTATCATACTTCCATATACTCGAATCCTGTGATGACATTTTCCTAACTGCTGAAGCAAAATCGGTTGCACTGAGTGATGGAGAAGTGGAGGATGATTTGAACATGAGTAGATCTTTCTCTAAAGAATGATAAGAGTTGACATTTTGTTGACCAGAAAATGGTGGAATGTGATGATTATCTGTGGGAGAAACTGCAGGGAAATCAAGAGCACTGAGATTTGGTGCTGATAAGCCTTTGGAGTTTGGATTCTGATTCAAACCATTATCTACTTGAAGCTGCAATCAAATCAAAACCAAAAACACTTTACACATACAACACCTTATTGAGGAAAGAAAAGAAACAGCCCTAAGTGTTGTATAAATATAAACAAACACAGTTTCTTATTTAGAGAAAATGATGTAAAAAAAAAATACCTCAAGCTGAGTCAGCATCTCAATTGTCAAATTCAAGTCACATCCATTAGCATAATAAACCTCCGCAAGACTTTCAGCTGCAAAACCTGGAAATTGGGAAGCCAAAAATCCAAGAGAATTTACTTCTGTACCCTCATTAAGCATATCATCTAAATACCCTTGCCCATTATCACCATTATAGGGTGGCAGTGGCTCATCTATAATCCCACCAAGCAACTGATCACCATGCATTTGCTGAAAATTACCAAACCTGCCACCATTCATTTGATGAGGAGATGATTCATGTTGCTCAGGGAACCTTGAGCTTCCATTGACATCCACTATAGACAAAGTTGAAAAGGGAATGGAAATGGAAATGCTATTGCTTCCATTTCCATTAGATTCTTCTTCTCCCACAACATGGAAATCAGGAGTTATATCATCAGGTAGTTGGTGACGCCAGAACTGGTGGGCTTCATCATCTGAATTATTTGATACAGAAGATTCTGATCTTTTGAGTATTGATTTCCCAGGTGTTGAAGCACTAAAATTGCCAAAATTAGATGTGTCTACAGAACGTGTGTTTCCAGATGGTGATCTTAGAGAAAATGGAACAAATTCTGCAGCATCTGGATTTAAAGTCTTTGTCTTCCCTGTTGTGCTAAGGTTTTTATCAATGGCAGAAGCCCCCTTTATTGAGTAGGCTCATTATTCTTTTTGGCAAGAAAATAAAGTTAGTTTAACAGCAAATGAAAGAACCTCCCAGATGAACCAGCATTACCCAAATCCTGCAAAACAGATACTTTAGACTGCAGATTTACTCACAGGAACTCATACTTGCTTGTCAAGATCACAGGCTTAATGAAGAAAGAATTACAGAAAACAGAAATTATACATAACTAGCATTGAAGTAACTAACTACACACATTTCCTTTTTAGTCAATAATTTAACAAAACTTCAGCATTTTTTGCGAAGTTGAAGGAAGAAATTGCATTACCGAACTAATAGATTACTATAAACAATGCATGTAGTTTATGTATAACATCACAAAACCAAAAAAAGCATTAAATGTAGACCGTATCTACCAAAATCGAACGTTCTAAGATCTTGATTATACTATAAATCATGTAATAACAAAGCACAACCATAAGTAATCAAATTGCAATAACTAATGTTGATAACTTCATTGAATTAAACCCTAAACGAAAAACAGATACAAAAAAATTTTAATCGAAAACCACAATTTCGGTTCATCAACAGTAAGAGATGTCATAAACAAAAAACAATAAACGCAATTCCACAAGATCTGATCATGATACAAGCTGTATGTGTTGAATTATATCACCTTTGCGAAGCTCAAGGATCGACGAAATCATACACAAACGATCCATTGCCGATGGAAGTTAGATAAATCTGAACAGAATATGTAAAAATTGTTAAACGAAAAGCAGAGACAGTGACTGATAAGAAGTATGGAGATGATTTTGGAGAGGTTATCGCGTATGTATGTGTGAATCTGAGGGTATGAAGATGAGAGCTGTTCGTTGACGAGTGTTTTTGGTTTTGATAATTTGATGTGGAAGAAACCCTGATGTCCACCCACCACAAATAAAGAGAAGGGAACCTCAGCAACCTATCCAAGTATCCATGTACCCACACACAAACACGTTGACACGCTACCACTTGCACTAGGCTAGGTACAAATGGTACATGCTTCTACAAGTACAACCCCTTGGCTTTCGTTCATGAATCATGACCTTTCGAGGGCATTTGGAGCTGCTGTAGCTGATGTACACTATTAAAAAATATATAAAAAAGATTATATATTTTGTAATTAAACAGTCAAATATTATATTTATCCGGTTTTAATAGTATTTCAATATATATATATATATATATATATATATATATATATATATATATATATATATATATATATATATATATATAGAGAGAGAGGTAGGTTCAAATGTTTCTCACATCTATTGTGTGTTAGAATGCACCAATATGAATTTAGTATTAATTATATGTATATTAAATGATATCCATACTTATAACTCATTTTTATGGAAACTAATTAAATTCGTCATTAATGTCAACAATAATATTCTTTCAGAATGAATTCATATCTACAAGATTCAGAGTGTATTCCAGCAGAATGAGAGTGTATTCTAGTAGAATACACTCTCGTTCTTTATATTTCATGCAACTTTATTGTATTTTAAGTGAGCGAGTCCTGAAACAAAATACGAACTCATATATAAAAACTTAGATGCGAATTCATTCTGAAAGAAAATGTTATTGTTGACATTAATGACAGATTTAATTAGTTTCCATAAAAAGAGAATTATAATCATGAATATCATTTAATATACATATAATTATGGAAATCATTTAATATCTATATTTATTTAATTAAATAATTATTTAATTCACTAAATTCTTATTGGTGCATTCTGTCACACAATAAATGTAAGAAACAAAATAACCTAGCCATATATATATATATATATATATATATAGATATATAGATATATTAATATATATAGTATATATATATAGATATATATATTAGATATTAGATATATATAATATATATGGTTAGGTTTTCATTTGAGACGGCCTAATTTTGTGAGACCGTGAGACGCAATCCTAGCTATTTATTTGGTAGATAAAACAAAAAACATTTTTAAAATGCAAAATAATTGAAAATTTTCGAAATTTTTTTTTCAAATATTATTTTCGGAATTTATATTTTCCAAAAAAAATAAAAAAAATACTTTTTTTACATATTTTAGTAGAATAATAGAATATTCTACATATCCAAGAAATCTAGTATAATATTCTAACATTGTAAAAATCACATTAGAATATTTACAGTGTAATATTGTATTAGAATATTTCACGTATTTTAAAAAAAACGGTAATTTTTTTATATTTTTTTTAGGTAATTAAAGTTCCGAAAATAATAATTGAAAAAAGAATTTTTGGATTTTTCCTTTTATTTTTCATTTTAAAATTATTTTTAGATTTTGTCTCACGGTCTCACAAAATTAGCATGGTCTCAAATGAACCTGAACCTATATATATATATATATAGATCATAATATATATATAAATATATATCTAATAATCTAATATATATATATATCTATTATTTTCTCTCTTACAAGGCTGATCGGATTGGAGACGTGATAGACGTGTGTTATGTGCGTGAAGTGCACGAACACCACCCCCGGATCGCATTATGGTGTTATCTGGTGTTATTTGGTCCTTGATAAAAGTAAGTTTAATCAATCTAGAACACGGGTGTTACGTCTGCATATTGCCCAACCCAAACGGTGGGATAATTTTTCCATTCCCAATGCATGCAGTCAATGCTTCCTATCATAACTGGAAATCCACACTCTTCCTCGACATGGAGTAGTCTTGCGAAATCATCTTGATTTGACATTCTAAGATACTCTTCATCAAAGCATGAAATGACACCTATTATAAAATGTATAAGAGCATCTCATGTTACAATTTCACTCATTCTTAAATATTCATCATGTGCGTCTGCTGATTTACCATACGCCAACACACGCATAGCTTTAGTACATTTATGTAAGTGTGAAATACCTCTTCTACTGGTGGCATCACGTTTTTTGTTGAAAATATGTATCATTGAATGTAATAGTGGACACTATACTGAGGAATAGAGGCTTTCACATTCGAAATCTATGTCGGAAGATTACTTCATCATATGTTGTGTTGTCAACAAAGTAGTCTTCCATCAAACGTGTCTCATCCTGCTCACTTTTTCGATCATAATACCTCCTTCTTGCTCTAGGAGGATGATCTCCTATGAGGATATTTGGCATGCTTATGAGTAATTCAGTAACGATGTCATCAAGTTGTCGATTTTGCTGAGCAAATCCTGCTGCCCATTCATCATATTCATTTAAATTAGATGATTCGGAACCAAATGTTGAGCTTTCATTACCAGACATTTCTATAGATGTAGGAAATGAAGAATAGGCGTTTGATATTAAAATATGTTCATCTTACAAACTATTTATACAACAAATTTATTATTTTTGTAATTTTCATAATTGAAATGTGTTCCATATCCTAAGAGGACATTATACAGATAAAAAAGAGGTTTTTATCCACTCAATATTTGAATGTGTGCCATATCCTAAGTTATAACAAACGGGATATAAATTGTTTCTAGCATTTCCATGTGTAAAGGATAATTCATTTTTTGAAAAAATATAAATAAATAAATAATTATAACCAAATATGTAAAACAACAAAATTACATAATTAAATATCTTACAAATACGTGAAATACAAAAATACATAAAAATACCTTACAAATACATGAAATACAAAATGCATAATGAAATGTCGTACAAATACATGAAATACAAAGTACTTAATGAAATATCTTACAAATGCATTAAAACAGACTGAAAATATACCATACACTAAATTGCTTTTAGTTTCCATAATACTTCACCATTAGAAAACGTTTCAGGTTTTCTTCTTCAAAGGACAGGTGCTCCTTTTGAAACAATGTGTTCAGATGCACAAGTTGTATTTTCATTAGCTCTATATTAGTTATTGTTTGCTCCCGTTGTTGATCCACGTCAAGTTTTTTTTCATGACTTCAATTTCAGTATTTCTACTAAGCCTCATTGCATGAAGTTCTTCAAAATTTTCATTAGAAACTTTACATTTTCCTTTTCTTTTACCCACATATCTACCCGTTGGATGTTGAATTGTTGTACCACCACTACACCATGATTGAGCTATTTGGCGACCACTACACCACTCTTACTAAGGCAGTTGTTGCTGCAGCTACCGCAACTGTTGCTGCTGCGGGGATTCGGGGGGGGGGGGGGAGATCTTTCTAGTACCGAGACTTCGATAATACAAAGTCCCAGAGTTTGATGGGGGCAAGGACCCGATTGTAGCGATGAGATGGATATCTAATGTGGAGGGTTGTTTCTTCACATGTTCTTGTCTGGATGACCAGAAGGTCGAGTGTGCCTTATACCTTCTCCGGTCTGGGGCGAAGGATTGGTGAAATTTGGTTACTGGCTCTTACACTCCCGATCAAAGGTTTGCAGTGACTTGGGAGCAATTCTCGAAGATATTCCATACGAGGTATGTGCCCCTAGTGGAGAGGGAGAGATCGGAGATGTCCCATACGAGATATGTGCCCCTGGTGGAGAGGGAGGTATTGACCCAGGAGTACCTGGATCTAAGGCAGTCGACTGAGACGGTGATGGAGATCACCAAGATGTTCACTAAGAGGGCTGTGTTTTGTCTTGGGTTTGTGTAACATCCCAAAAATACAAGCCAAAACTTTAATTTTTAAATACATTATTATAAAACCAACAGTATAAGAAAACATCCATATATCATGTCATGTCAAAACCCAAGTAGAAATAATCAAAACATGTTATCATAAAACAATATCAGAGTGTAATCCCAAAGATCTCGTGTGCGGAAAACCATAGTGTGATGCGCTGCGATCAAGCCGACTCCTTTCCTTCAAAAACGAAGTTCCTGACACCAAAACGGAAAACTGTAAGCACAAAGTTTAGTGAGTTCCCCCATCATACCACATACCATACAATCACATAGCATACATACTGCCGGGCAATTCTGGGGTGCCCGACCTACCCGATACGGCCATTCTGGGGTGCCGATCTACCCGGTGCGGCCATTCTGGGGTGCTGACCTACCCGTGTCAAGCCATTATGGGGTGCTGACCTACCCATGTCAAGCCATTCTGGGGTGCTGACCTACCCGTCGGTCCTAACAACCGACCCTCGGGGACTATTCCACCCCCTACTGCTACTATCACATATATCATAACATAAACATACTATCATACATATCTGGGGTGTCCGAACTACCCTTCGGTCCTAACAACCGAACTTGTGGACTATTCCCCTCCTACTACCACTATCACATATAACATATCATGCCAGCATATAAACATATCATCACATACTGTCAGACATATCTGGGGTGTCTGACCTACCCTTCGGTCCTAACAACCGAACTCTACTACTATCACATATAACATATCATGCCAACATATAACATATCAGGTAGTAGCAAACCTAGATGATATCACAAAGACAATCATCTAACATACAACTCCTACTGGTGGGCCGGCATTGTGGCCGTAGACCCACCGCTACTGGAAGGTAACTCACCTCACACTGCTGAAGTCCCGTAGACACAAAATCCCACACTGCTGAAGTCTCGCAGACTCAACCCCAGCTACTGGATGACAGATTCCCGAACTGTCAACACCAAAATAACACCCAATTAATAATTGGGTCACAACACATATCCATAAATACATAATTGGATAATTACTACATTACCCCAAGGTTGGCTTTATTCAAGCCCAAGGCCCAATCCATAGGCCCAAAGTCCAACTAGGAATCAAGGCCCAACATATGGCCCAACTTTCCAAATTGGGCCCAAGCCTATACATGGTCTTATTCTGAGGCCCAACATCATATAATCATTAAGGCCCAAACTATGGCCCATCTATGGCCCAATTTTCCAAATTGGGCCCAAAGCCCCTTACATGGGCCTTACCCTAGGCCCATTAAATTATTCTAGTCCAATTGCTTGACTTTGGATGGCCTATTAATAACCCAAC